GGGGGGGGGGGGGGGGGGGGGGGAAGGCTCCAGCCACGAGAGGCCTCAGTTGCTCCTCTTGCCCCCAGGCCAGCGGTTCCACTGTGGAGGGAAGAAGAAGAGGAGGTGGGTATTGCGCGGCTTTAAGGCAGCCTCGTGTCTCCTCCCCATCCTAGTCCTGCCAGCTGGAAGGGCTGGGGTCTCGGCTTGTACTCCCTCCCGTTTCAGCTGTGGTGCCCAGCTTAACACGTCTCCTCTTGCTCCACAGACAAGGAAATGAGGAAGACCTGTAGCTGCAGGTAGGTTGCAGGAGGATGCGCCCAGCTGGCAGCCAGGATCCCTGGGTCTCTGGTGCCAGGCAGCGATGCTCCGAGGCACCCGTGCTTCAGGGAAGTACCCGCGTGGGGGTTTGTCTCAGGAGGGGGGGAGCTGGGACATGCTGGCCTCTGTGCCCGTGTAACCCTCCCACTCTCTGGTTTCAGAGCTGCCATGGAAGCAGAGCTTCATCCAAAGCAGAGAAGTCCTTGCCAAGGGCCACCCCTTGCCCCGCTCCAGTGGATCCATTACCCTGCTGACCCCGGGCCAGGCCAGAACGCAAATTGCCCTCGTGCTTTCCCCTCTGTTAGAGCCAGCGAGAGTTCCTTGGCTAATAAAGTTCAAGCTGAGAGAGGTTAAACTTTGTGCCCGAGGTATTTGAATCACCCACACTCTTGGCTCAGCACCAATGACTTTTCTGGCCTGCAGACTTCTTCCAGCACGGCCCCGGGAGAAGTTTCCGCTGGCTGCTCCGCACACGCAGAGCACGGGGCACCCGGCCATCTCCCCCGTGTGTGTACCGGGGCGTGCGGAGGGGGGGACGCTCCTGCTCCGGCCACCCTGGCTGCTTCCAAGAAACACCCTGAGGTTGGGCTGAGGATGCCCAAATCCTGTGGGATGCCCTTTCCCGGGGTACCCGGCGGGGGGTTGCCCCACTGCCCCGTGGTGCGGCTGTGGGGCCGCTCGGATGCCCCCGGGGGAATCTGCTTTTTGGGGGGGGGCGGGGGGGTGCTTGTCCGCTTGTGTCCTCGGAGAGTGCTCGATGCGGGGGCCTCCTTGGGCACGAACGGGGCTGGGGTGGCGCATCCAGCTCCGCGGCTTCACAGCCTCCATCATCTTCGGGTACGGACGGAAACACCCCCCTTTTTTTAGA